GCAGCCCTGATCCCAAAAACAATGCGGTGTCATACAGATCCCGCCGGGCAGAACACAAGCCGGCAGCTTAGGTTGACATTCAGGAGCGGCTGCCTTAGAATCCAGTAGTTGCGCCAAGAGTGGCCTCAACAGCAGTCCAGTATCACGTCAGGATTTGTTTGGAGGCAGTGGAACAAAGGCATTAGCTGCATCGAGGTCAGACGAAACGGTGCGAGTGCGCTACATCAACGGAGAGTTCAAGCGCTTCTCTGTGCCAGAGTTGGAGTTGACGATGAGTGCGCCTCAAAATGAATTGAGACCTTTGGAGTCCAAGAGTCCAACTCACCAAAACCAGAGGCTGCGCATTGGTGGCGTCTCAGCCAACGTGGTGCTTTCCATGTTTGACGGGTGGTTGCAACCAGTTGCACCATCGGCAAGGTGGCTGTATGCCAATTCCTGTTCCCTTCGCACCTTCAAAGCAATGGGTGGCTTTCGGATTTAAGCATCTGATCCATATTTGTTGCCCGATTGACTGAATGGGTTGCCTGCAACTGAGCATTGCCTGTTCTAAGCGCAGCCCTTCGGTTTCCTGTTGCCTCCTGCAAGGAGCAGGCACCAGCGTCTTGGGAGAAGTGGTCAGTGGGACAGCACATCTACTTGTCAGGCGCGGGCGTCGGATGTATTGCGGCAGGAGCCGTTGCCCGCCTGTGCTTGTGCAACCGCCACTTTTCATTACATGCAGCACTTCTGAATCCGTTGGGCAGGTTCAGGCAAGTGGTGGACTGGAAGCACCTTGGATTTGGGCAAGTGCAGAAAAGCTTGCACGGGCATAAGCATGTGTGATGCTGTTGTAGCAATGCGGTGGAACGTCTGCACCGCCCAATGTCCCAAACAACATTCTGTGAAAGCGACGTTTTGTGATTCGAGGCTGCTTCGCTGCCTCTATCGTAGACATCCGGCACTCAGACTCCACCATCAAGGCCATGTGTTTTGACTGTTGTTCGGGTTGTGTGCAGTGCAAACCAGCAAGAAGTACCAAATATCAATCTGCATGATATGAATTTAGTTTGCTGATCCTTGATTCATTGAAGGCCCTTTGGTAGGATTACCTCATCTATGCCAAACATGGATCCATAGCTTCGGAGTTCCCATGTCAATCAAATGAAGGAACCCACCAAGTTGATGTCCTCTCACTTCCCCGAAAGCATGTCATTTAAGAACCCTCCGTTCAAACCATGCAGAAAGAACAAATGTCATTTAAACAAAAGCGCAACTGCCCATGGCACCAAGAATATTTTTTGCTTCGGATCGCAAGGTGCAGTACACCTCGGGGGGCTTCAAGCGGTTTCCCATGGCGGAGTTCAAGCAGCTGGTCACGGAGCAGCGCTTGCCGGAGAGCCTCGCCCGGGAGCAGGGGGCCATGTTGGACGGGTTTTATGGAAAACTAAGGCAAGCAAGTCACAATATAGGGCACCAATTTTGAGGAACCTCCAGTTATGGTTTACAATCACGTCACTTTGCCTACCCCAGCTTGGTTGACTTTATGCTTCTTGGGAAAGCTCATAGTGGTGCAGCATTCAGATGGATCCTTTTCAGGGCTTCGTGCGTGTCGCATTCTCAGGGCTGCGCGCGCGTCTGTGTGTGTGTGGCATTTAGCTGGATCCACTCGCCCGCTCGCTCGCTCCCTCTCATTCTCTCTCACTCATCCGCCCGCCCGCCGTCCCTCACCTCACCTCGCCTCGCCTCGCCTCGCCTCGCTTCACCCTCTCGCTCGCTCGCGAACTCACTCACAAACTCACTCCCTCGCTCCACTCAATCACTCTCACGCTCTTACCCTTTTTGCCCTTTCACTGTCTCCCTCTTTCATATTCTCACTCTATCGCTCTGTTTCTCTCTCTCTCTCTCTCCCTCTCTCTGTCTCACGCTCTCATTGGCTCACTGCCTGTTTGGCTCACTGGCTTTCCAGCTCACTGACTCGGTGACTTACTGGCTCACTCACTCATTGACTCCCTCACGCGCTGACGCACGCTTTGCCTCGCGCGCTGACTCCTTGTGGCAATTCATCAATGATATGTGGGAGTTCTGCCATATGGCTGCAGGCTGCTTCGCCTACTGTGGGGTCTTGTCACTGGGTGCCGGACATTGTGACATGCAAGTTGGATTCTATAGCGTAGCCTTGGTAAATTTCACGCAGCTGCTGCCGTCACAACATTTGTAAGACCGCTGAATTGGTGTTGCCTGACCAAGGATGTGGGAGGCCAGGAGCGAGTGTCAGCGGGAAGGCCAGTGCTCGTACCTCTAGGCCCTGTATGTAGAGGAAGGTCGGAAAAGTCACACGCCCCTCGTCGTTCCTTGATTGGCTGGATGGCCGTGTTTCTTGGGTGCGGTTTTCATAAATGCTTATTCAATAGTGCTGCTCAAATTGTTGCAGTCAAGAAAGCTACAGTGCTACAGCTGCACACTTGTTTGGGTGGCAGGCTGAGTTGTCCTGTATTGCATTGCACCATCCGCCTTCGTGTTCAGCATCAAGGTCTTCAGTGGTTGGGACAAGGTTTGAACAATGGGTCGTTCTGTCAAAGAAATTGCTTGGGGGCCGGCCAAAACCAATGACAGCTTCACCTGTGAAGGTCGGCGCATTTGCTTGGATCGTAGATGCAAGGAGGCAGCGTTTGCAGCACAATCGGCGTGTGGTGCTGACTGTGTTGTTTGCATGTGCAGGATTGGTCGAGCGGCGGCACGCAAGAGCTCAACGAGCTTGAGAAGATTCATGATGCCCCTTTCCTGACATTTCTGGCGATGGCTAAACTAAATAAACAACATTTATGGACGTTGTGCGCAACCCCAGCCTTGGCCGGGCTTGGGCGTCTCCTCGGCGCTGGGCCAAGGCCATCGTCCTGGCCATGAGGCTGGGGAGCTTGAACGCTGCCGTTTTTCACAGGTGTGGCGGAGGCGCTTTGACGAATGGCAATCAAACTGCAGGCTTCGTTGCAAAGTTTCCGTAAACTGGCAGCCTGGAGGGGAAATCCACAATCACGGCGAATAGGTGGGCAGTACAACCCTGCTGAGTAGGTTGCCACGTCGCAATGTGCCAGGAACAAGGATGAGGCAAAAGCTGCGGAGCTTCAAGCTAAATACCATTCTATGCCCGGAGCCCAGTGTGACTTGTGACAGCAAAGTTGTTGCATGCTGTTACGGCCAGAGCGTCGACTACTGAAGCGCTTGCGTTTTCTAGTGGTTCAACCTGTTGATATTTGTTGCTGTTCTGCCTGCTGTGCACATTTGTGTGATTAGCATCACCAGCCGCCCTTGCTGCACGATTTGGGATAATTAGGTAAAACCCTTGACTGCCGGAATCCCAAGTGCTGGATTTTGTCCATCAGAAAAGGAAACATGAAAAGGACACCGTCAGCATTTGGAGGGTGCTCAGTTGGACCCGCGCCTTGCTTGTCCAAGGCTGAGCCATGGGGAGACAGTGCAGGATCTGCAGGCCGCACTGAGCAAAGCAGTGGCGGAGACGAATTATTTGAAGGCCCACTGCGCCTTGCCCCAGGTTTGGGTGTTCCGTGGTTTGGGTTGCCCGTTGCCAAGTTTTGCGGCAACTTATGGCAGATGCTCAGCAATGAAGGTTCCTCATGTTTGATGCTTTGGAGATCAATCTGCAATTAGACTGTCACGCTGGTCTCTTCCTCCAAATAACAATTTCGCCCCCTAAAGCAATCCAAAACATTGTTTGCGAGCGGAGCAATGTTTCATGAACAGGGGACATCAGGGTATCAGGTGTTGCGATACGCTCAAAAATCGTTCGCGGTGGCTTCGAGTTGGTGTAACATTGGATTCACATCGGCTTTCCTTGGCTGAATACTGTATTGGTTCTTTCGTGTCGCCTGGAGTTGGTGTCGGGGGAGAATTTGCTGCTGCAAACTGAGGGATCCAAGAAGAACTTCGCCAGCTGGTGGGTGAAGAGGCCCAAAGTGCGCCAGCTGCCGAAGGGTTCTTCGCATCGTGGCTATGCGGGCGCGTCGTTTTTGAGGGTGCCTTTTGGCTTTTTGGGCTGAGGGAACCCAGAGGCAACCAAGGGTTTGGGGACCCACCCTGAAATTTGAGAGAAGCCCATGTCTGCGGGTGGGGTGCCTGGTGGCAAGTGCATAACGGCTGGCATCAAACGCGAGCAGCCTGTTTGATACGAGATGCTGTTGGGAGTGGTTCACCAGGTGCATTCTCACCCAAGGCCTCTGGTCTTTGGACAGTGCTACGAAGCAGCACAAGCCAAGCACTTTGCGGAGGAGTTGCCGGAGCCAGCGCAGCTTTGCAGCGAAGGTATTGCGCCAGGATGCTAGGTTTGGAAATCGAAAACGCAGTTGGGAAATCTGTTGTAGTCGAGACGGGTGTGTTTCTCGTTTTAGTCAACCCGTGAGAAGTGCTGACTGTACACTCCCTCAGACTAACATGGAAGCTCGCCTATCTAAAAAGCGCTTGAGGCAGGCAAACCAGCACTGCGTTTGCCACCTTGAAGCATCTTGAAGCTCTGCGCACGTGACCTTTATGTCAAGGCCATGGCTCTGCAGATCACTTCGCTGATGTGGCTGCGAACGATCATGATGCTTGGCAGGTGTTGGGCTACGTGTCCCAAGTGCAATCTCTTCTCTAATCAAGAGTCCTGCTAACAGCAGCAGCGTTTCCCGAAATTCCCAAACTAAATTATACATTTGGAATAGCCAATTTGCATGATTTCCTAACCATCCCCAACTCCAGTCGCATTAGGGGGCCTTTCAGGACCAACACAAAGCAACTATACAGCATAGTCATGTAAAAAATATACACACATATCATGGATGTATACACACACACACACCCATGCTGTTATCGCACGTTGCTTATGGTTGCGGTGCGTCCTCAAGGTTCTTCCCGCAAGAAGAGGCAGCATCACGTTTGCATTTTGCATTGTGTTGCACATGTGCTTTGCCACAGTGAAGCTGATCTCAAGGAATTTTCAGTACCGCTATGGGATGACGATGCGTGAAGTGCCACGGCCTTGCAAGAGGGTGCGAAGTACAGCCCGCGATGCGAACAGTATATTCTTGATGGTGTCGATTTTGCTTGACATTGGCTGGGCATCCCTGGGTGCTATCGTGGCCCAATCCGTTGCTTGCTTGCCTGGGTGCGCCTCCAGGTTGCTGCCCTTGGAAACTTGGTGTCAGGGAGGATCCCCAGTGGGCACTGCTGACAACAAGAATGTGTCAAACCACGTCTTGCTTTCTTTTTGAACGGGGGTTCTTGAACTATATAGCCGGCCCCTGGTTGCTATGAACGGCACGAAGCGCAATGCTCAAGCCTTTACATTCAAGGAGCTCAACATGCAGGAAACAGAGAATCTCTCAAGCAAGCATCGTGGTCGAATTTATTGGCCGAGGCCAGGTTGTGTTCGACTTGGCATTCAATTTGAAGCGTTCGACTTGCTGTTTCATTTGATTCTTGGCTTCATCTCACATGAGTTTCTGTCAACTTGGCCCACCGCATAAACCAAGCAGGTTGCAATTCGCACCAAGATGCAGTTTTCCCTGTATTGTTTGCCTAGCAGGCAAAAGCCTGTTTGCCATCACATGAGGCCATGAACATCTTGTACTCGCAGGGCGGGCTGCCCCGCTTCTACCGGGGCATTGGCCCAGCGCTAGTGCAGGCCTGTCCAACCCTCTTGGCTGAAAATTGTGCGGCGGTTCCCCCAAGAGCTGAAAGGGTTCCAGGAAGGTGAAGGTTGAGCTTTGATTTCTTTGTCGGTTTCCCTTGAGACCAACGCTGCACCTTCGTTTACACACTTGATTTTGCAAAACAGCTTGTTTGCGCGTTTTGTGGCGTGTTTGCGCGCTTCTGGGACTTTGCACAATTTTGAGGATTTGCGCGCTGGTTCCGTGGATCATTCAGGCGAGTTCTGGTCGACAAGGCACGCATCGTAGTTGTTTGTGAACAGCCTGACCGGTTGATGTCAAAGCTATATACACACAGCTTTGTGCTCAGAAGGTTACGCAGGTGTTGGTCATTGTTTCCTTTTAGCAGGGTGCCGTCTTGGGTCTATTTTTTGAGCCACTGCCGCATCCCTTCAAGCAGTGCTCTTCCATTGTCTTGAAGGCAAGCTTTTGAGGCATGCCCCGACACACCGTAGGGCAAGCCTGCTGTTGCAAGCCGTGGCGTCTAGAGATTCAACTTGCCTCAGCCAACGGGGCAAAGCTCGGAAACACAATGAGCTTCTTTGCTCAATCCAAAGTCTTCCAGGCCGTGGCAGTGCTAATTTTATTTCAGCCACCCTTGTCACCCCACACAAAACCACAATTTACCAGCTTACATCCCCACAGAAAACCAGTGGACTTCATGCAGCCACTGTTCCCGCACAAGAAAATGACGACACCTTGCGCCGTCAAAACCATAAAATGACTACACACTACCAAAAACGAAACCAAGATAACAGACAATACCGCAAAACAACACACAGACAAACATAAGTTACCACACAAATGCACAACAACCACATTCCGGGCAAGCTTCTTGGCGGTTACCTTCATTTGGGAGCTAGGCTCTGCCAATGTTTGCCCCGTTCAACATTGGCAACGCATGGTTTTCATGCAGCCCCACCGTTGTGACACAAAAACCCCCCCCCCAAAAAAAAAAGGAAAAAAGAAGACAAATGCCATGCTCTCAATCTGCTTTTTTTTTAATATCAGCTGTGAAAGGACCCCGTTTGAAGGGATTTCCACACAGCTGTTTAGATGTCTCAAGTTCCGAATTCAGGGGCCGCTGATGCGTTTCGTGGACTCCGCGGCCAACGCCGGTGTGCTGGCCTTGTTTGAGGGCACGCACGCGAAGAACTGGCCCGCGCCTTGCCAACAAAAAAGCAACGCGGGAGGTTGAAATCGATACGCCCTGAGCAGAAAATTCCCTCTCTCATCGAGGCGCATGTCCATTTAATTTAAGAATTCTGGAATTGGCCGACCTCTAAAGAGAACGGACAGAAGGCCAAGGAGGTGTGTGCACCCAGACAATTTGCGAAAATATGATGTTAAGGTTCTTTTTTCAACCAAGTGACCCGCACAAATCAATCAGCCAATTAAGTGCCAGGTATGGCTCTCCAAATGGGTGACAGTAAAAAGGGGCCAGGGATTGATTGTGCTTGATTGACAGTTCAGATCAATAAGAAGTCCCCACATCAAACATGGCCTTCTAGCATATGCCGTGCAAGGCGGCCCCGCATAGTCAAGCCGGAAGTTTGGGCTGGGCGTTCTTACGGCAAAGCTGCAAAATGTACTGTTTTTTGCTCACTATGAGAGGCGTTCGAAAAATCGCACGGACGGACAATCGAACCAATTGCTTGGCATGGACCTGCACTTGTACTTACTACTTACAAGTGCATGTAGCTATGAGCGTGTTCACCGTCACGTTCAGCTGTGAGCGGGATGGCCTTGCTCACCTGGTTGCCAGCAGGAATCAAGGCCTAGAGAGGGTTACTTACAAAGCTCCCATACGTTGGCACAATCAATGTCCATCGTCGTAGAGTTGCTGCAGTGGCGCTTCACCGTAGACCATTGAGAGGGACGGACGGCCCTGCTGTTGTGCCCGTCTCGCAGGTTTGGATTCAGACGATTTTTGCCTCGGGCTCGGCCGCCAGCCTGCGCATTGTTCTGATGCCGCTGGATTCGGTGAAGACGGTCTTGCAGGCCTCGTAATTCCGCCGCATTGTCCGCGGAATCAGGGCTTAGAAAATGCTATATTTGCAGGTTAGCTAAACATGACGCATAATTTTCCCATATAGTGTTTGCATTATAGAATTGGGCTCAGAAACTCGGGAGGGTCGGGCCAAATGCTCGCCCGCTCCTTCAGGTGGACGGCAAGCAAGGGCTGGCGCAACTGACAAAGCGGTGGAAAGCAGGAGGGGAGAGAGCATGTGCTTCACAGATCCTCTCCTTAGGGCACATGGGATTGCATGAAAAGGGGGTGATCGGATCTTAGCATCTGGCCGTCCAAGCTGCCACTTTGCTTTCACTCCGAGTGTCCTTTCCTGGGATGCAGGCCCGCCTTCGAATGTCGGTTCAACCGTAAAGCCGATTGGTTGAGAATGAGGTTGCGCCTCACAACCAGGTTCTTTGGCCTAGACCGCTGAAATGACCTGTGGGAGAGGCGGGGGGGGGACCTAAGAAGGGTCAGGACGACGGTAGGGGTCTATAGTCAGTTTGGCTTGTAAAGCATTTCAAACAGACGTTGGGGGAACTCACTGAGTTTCCCGCAAGAACCAGGATACTCACCAATTGTCCAATGTCCTTTTATGCAAAAGAGTGAGCAAACACAAAACTTGGCGATTGTTGCGGCCTGGTTTCATTCTGGTTTGGCTCAAGTTTTTTGAGGGTCCCCATTTTCAGATTGTTTCAACGGACGCCCTTGTTAGATTGTTTCAATGGAAGCCAAAAGGACAACCGCCATTGTCCGGGCCTTCAATTTTGACCAAGTTGTGGACCCAGCTTTGCTGATATCCTGCTGGGGAATCATTCGTAGTTTTGACCGGTTCCCCTAAACGCACACCAGGGACACCAAATAAATCCCATGAAAACCCACAAGTTGCGGGAACCCCCTTGTTTTGTGCTTTTGTGAGGGGGCCTTTTTTTGGTTGGGATGGCTTTGAAGGGAACACGAAAGGACACAACCCTCTTTGGCACTCCCTGTGTTTTGACAAACATCTAGGAGGTGCGTCTGTGCTCTTCCGCGGCGCGATGGCCTCTTCTGCAGCCACCTTTGTCAGCCACTACCCGTGGTTCACCGTGCCCTGGTGGGGCAACATATTGACTTGAGCAGAAACCAGAAGAGAAGGAGGTTGCTGAAAAAGTGGTGCTTGAACATTTGGGCCCTGGCTGCGAACCTGTTTGTTTGGCGGGGAGGGGGAGGCTTCAGGCCAGCAACAAGTTGAGAAGACCTTGCGAAGGTTTTCGCAAGGAAGCGAGACTGCATGGATATGTTCGGTTTTCCCACACCCTCACTTAAGAAGCAGAGGGATCAACGTCAACACCAGGCTGGCAAGAGGTGCCAGCTTTCAGTCGGCCCTTTCTAGGGTGTCATGAAGGAGGGCTTTACACAAACTTCCTTTGGCCAGGTCGCCCAAGAGAGTTCACAGAGAGATCTCCTGGAGAGATTAGAAGAGGCCCCCATCTCGTCCGCCGTGATGCCCCGCAACAGTCGGGCAATGGTAGCCGGGGGTGGGAAAGACTTCGGTTTCGAGCCCAGGGCCATCAGGCCCAACTCCTTGCCCGCATATCTTGGTCCGGCGCGGCTGCCTTGACGAAGCCGCTGCCTGTGTGTATGTGCGGATCGTGCATATCAGTTCTGAAGCGCCAGTAATTAAAGACGCACTTTCGAAGACCTGTTTCTTCTCAAATATGAAAGCGGAACCGTCGCGGTAGCTAGGTAGTTGCAAGCTACACGTAGCTACTGCAATTTCGGCTGGAAGCGGCGCAAGGGCAGTGGACAGCGTGCCGAGGGCAGCCGGTGCATCAGGCAAAACCAGGGCACGACCAATCATCCCCTCCTTTTCTCCCACAGAACCAGCGAAGATTTTCGGGTGGCACGCAACTTGTTTATGCACATGGTCCAGGAACAATAATTCAATCACCCATTCCTGTCATTGCCCATTTCACGGGCTTCAAGCTGAGCCAGCCTCAGCTTAGCCACTGTTCCCATAGGATACCAGTAGAGCCGGCGAAGCCGGTGGGCGGAAGGTTCAATAATATAAAAACTATAGTTATCTTTCTCTTTCTTTTCTTGACTCTTTTTCTCCTCTTCTTCCTTCATTGTTTCTTTTTTCTCCGTCATTCTTCCTTTCTTCCTTTCTTCGTTTCTTTCCTTCCTTCCTCCCTTCTTTCCTTCTTTCTATCTGTCTTTTCTTTCTTTCTTCCGTGTGCTTGTTTTTGTGCTGTTCTTTCTTTCGTCTCTTCTCCTCTGTCTATCTATCTATCTACCTAACTACCTATCTATCTATCGTGTTATCTATCTACCTGCTTATCTATCTATCTATCTATCTATCTATCTATCTATCTATATATCTATATTTCTACGTATCTCTCTATCTCTCTATCTATCCATCTCTCTATCTATCCCTCTATCTCTCTCTCTCTCTATCTGTCTATCTATCCATCTCTATCTATCTATCCATTTCTCTATCCATCTACCTATCTATCTATCTATCTCTCTATCTTTCTTTCCATATTTTTTCTATCTATCTACCTACTATTTGTCTATCTATATTATGTTTTTTTTATCTATCTCTATTTATCTCTCTATCCATCTCTTTATCTCTCTTTCTATCTATCTATCTCTCTATCTCTCTTTCTTTCTATCATCTATCTCTCTATCTCTTTCTATATCTACCTATCTATCTATCTATCTATCTCTCCATCTATCTCCCGCATATCTATCTATCTATCTAACCTATCTACCTATCTACCTATCTATCTATCTATTTATCTATATATCTATCTATCTGTCTGTCTGTCTATCTATCTATCTATCTATCTATCTATCTATCTATTTGTCTCTCTATCTGTCTCTCTCTCTATCTATCTCTCTATCTCTCTATCTCTCTATCTCTCTATGTATCCCTTTATCTACCTATCTATCTCTCTCTCTCTCTCTATCTGTGTATCTCTCTATCTATCTATCTATCTATCTATCTATCTATCTATCTATCTATCTGTCAATCTCTTTTTCCATCTCTCTATCTCCCTATCTATCTATCTATCTATCTATCTATCTATCTATATTTCTATATATATATATATCTATATATCTACCTATCTTTCTATCTCTCTATCTATCCATATTTGTCTCTCTCTCTCTATCTATCTATCTATCTATCTCTCTATCTCTCTATGTATCCCTCTATCTACATATTTGTCTATCTCTTTCTATCTGTCTATCTCTCTATCTCTCTTTTTATCTATTTCTCTCTCTATCTATCTATAAATCTATCTATCTGTCTGTCTATCTATCTATCTTTCTTTCTATCTCTCTATCTCTCTTTCTTTCTATTTATCTATCTCTCTATCTCTCTCTCTCTCTCTATCTCTATTCATCTATCTATCTATCTATCTCTCCCTCTATCTCTTAATCTCTCTCTGTCTATCTATCTATCTATCGATCTCGCTCTCTCTCTCTCTCTATCTATCTATTTATCTATCTATCTATCTCTCTCTCTATCTATCTATCTATCTATCTATCTCTCTGTATCTCTCTTTCTATCTCTCTGTGTCTCTCTTTCTATCTATCTCTCTAGCTATCTCTTTATCTGTCTATCGATCTATTTATCTATCCATTCATATCTCCACTTAAAAGTTGCGATGTTCAATCCCCGAAAGTTGACTTCGCGTACTACTTTTGTACTTAAAAGTTGCGATTTTCGTCACGTACTACTTTCGTACTTAAAAGTTGCGATTTTCAAGCCCCAGCTGCGAAAGTGGACTTCGCGTACTACTTTCGTACTTAAAAGTTGCGATTTTCGAGCCCTGGGTGCGAAAGTTGACCTTGTGAAAGTGCTGCGCGTGCCACGAAATCTATACTTGACCTTGCGAAAGTGCTGCGCCTGCCACGAATTATGTACTTGACCTTGCGAAAGTGCTGCGCCTGCCACGAAATCTGCACCTCACCTTGCCAAAGTGCTGCGCCTGCCACGCAGTTCAATCCTTGGGGAAACTTGACCTTGCGAAAGTGCTGCGCCTGCCACGAATCTGTACCTCACCTTGCAAAAGTACTGCGCCTGCCACGGAACTCAATCCTTGCGAAACCTTCGCGTTGCCGTGCCAATGGGCCCGCGCTGCGAACGTGATCCGAGAACGGTCCGACAATGGTCCGACAATGGTCCGACCAGGCGCCGCGAACAGGCTAGCTTTCAGTTCTCCGGACATGCAAATTCACGCACAGGGCCACGCTTTTGGCGCACTTCTATTCTCCCACCACACGCGCGCGCATCTTTTCTCGCGCGCCTATTCCTTCTCTTGTCATCTGTCTCAGGGAGAGCTAGCTTTCAATTAGTTGCCGTAACACGGAAGTTCCTTCTAAACTTCCTTTGATCATAAGTGTCCTTATGGCCAAAATGGTGCAATGGCTGCTTCTACCCATTCTGCACACGTTACCCCAGGTCTTCAACGTCCTCAACAACCGCCTGCCCCACTATGACAGCACGGTGCAGCAGCTGCTCCGAAACGCGGGCATCGGCTTTTGTGCGTCGGTGGCTTTGATGCTTCCAGTGTTTTGGGAGAGATTTGACTTACAGTGCCAAGGGTTGTACAGTGCATCAGCTTGGGAGAAATTTGGCTTTGCTTTGTAATCCTCAATCAATATATGGACTAATGAGATTGAACCCCTGGTTCTTGATAACACCCCTGGAGGTTTGACTGGCATGGTTTCTCAAAGGGTTGGATCCCCTGTTGGATGATTCACAGCGGGGGAGGGAAACAGACCGTTTAGGGGTCCCCTGTGACTTAACTTCTGATCCGTCAGTCTGAGACGCGGAGGGAGTGCCTCAGGTTGTCTCAGACACGGTCTCCAACTCCTTGCGGGTGCTAAAGACTCACAGGCAGACGGGGGAGCGCTCGTATATGGGCATTGCCCAGCGCCTTGGCTCCGTCTCAGGTCTAGGGGGGGAATTCGAACCTTTACACCAAGTGGCCACTAAGCAAGGACTTTGTGAATGAAGTATGCAGAAACCGTGCAATGAATGGCTGACATGAAGGGATTTGTCATTCGTGGTTTGGTTGTGCACCTGCAGGGTAGATCCTAAGTGCAAACTGAATATTGAAGATGGCTGCATCTCCATCCTAAGCCTCGTAGAATCGGCAAGAGGGTTACACACACACACACACATTGCGCAGAGCCTTAGAAAACGTACGCATTTGCACCAAAGAACTTCCAAGATGTACTCCTCCCCGGCTCGTTTGAGCCTTGAGTTGGCGAGGTCGGTGATCCGTACGGATGGCGTCACTGGGCTTTTGAGCCGGGGCTTGGCGACGCGCCCCTCGGATCTGAAACAGGTGATTTGGAGCCTGCTCACTAGGGAAAGACTAGGGAAAGAGATATAAAACAACCACCCTGGACCACCTCGAAACCAGTAGCAACTTGGAGGGAGGCTTATGTTGGGTTGACTCTTTATGAAAGCTATGGTTTGGAACTTTGGTGAGTCATCCCCTCGCAGGCTGAGCAAGACGGTCCTGAGGCTTCTGACCCCCCCAAACAATAAGCACAGAGTGGCAGGCCGATGGCGGCATTTTTGCCGTTTGGATTGCATGGGGGCCTGCAGCATCCCTAACAGCCTGACAGCCGTTGCATTCTTGAAGTGGCCTTGTTGAAGGGTTAATGACCTGCTCCATGCAGCCTTGTGCACAGGCATTGTCGCCAATGGTCTATCCGGCATGGTCTTCTCCGTGCCACTTGGCAAATCTCAGGGCGAGAAGCAAGCACATCCGCGGGAAAGGGAGCCTGGGGCTGCGGCCAATATCAGTCGCAGGATGCTCAGTTGGAATGGTAAGGATAGTCACCCAGCCCTGAACGGCCATGTGTAACATCTCAGAATCTTGCGGAGCCACTGTGAATGATGAAGCGTCCCATTCAAGGAAACATCACCATCCCCAGGAGTTCGCACGCGACCATAGCTTGGAACGCCTCTCCGAGGCTCTACCGTGCATTTGAGGAGCCGCTGGTCAGGAAATGAACCATTCCGGCACGGTGTTGGACCGCCTGTTTCTGCAATGTTTCGTTTTAAGCTGAGCTGCTCCAGGGCGTTTCAGCGTTTCCAGCCCGCATGAAGCGAGGGGCTCTACACTGTGCAGAGGGCATCGTCCGATTCGCTAACTGGGTAGAATGAAGAATGTGCGCGCAAGTCCTCCCACGGTGTCCCTTGAGCTTGATCGGGTCATAACTTTGTGTGCCGAACTGGTCCAGGGACCGTGTCTAGCCAAGTCTGTGCTTGCTGCAGGCATTTCCGGCCCCCCACAGTGCACAAGGCAGCCTTAGTTCCCCGGACCTTTGCCGATGGAATGCATCTCAGACAGCCCAAGGCCTGAACATTGTGAAGTGGAAACCAAGCAAACCAAAGCTCGCGCTTTGCCGCAGCTCCTGAAAAGCTTGTAGACACCCACTCCCACGTGGCACGACCAAGACCAGAGCCTAGAGCCTGGGCAATGAAGCCATGGCCTTCAGATTGGGCAAGGCTGGGGGGACCGGGGGAACTGGGCTGTCACTTGTGGTGCATCCTCTTCTTCTGCCCGAGAGGCAAGACTTGGCCCACTGCCTGCGTTATCCAGAAGATGCAAGCGCGCGATTGAAAGTGACTGGATCCTTCTGAAACAGGAACCGCCAAGTCCGCCCAGTGCTTGCATTTTTCATAACTAACGACTTGGGGCCATGCAAACGCACACATGCCACGAGTCCAGGGGTCACAAGAGCATAGGGCTGAGACAGGTTTGGCTGCCTCACATGGCGTTTGAACGCCCGTGTCCCGCAAGCAAGCAGGCAAGCGTACAAACGCCAACCAAACAACCGACCGACCAACCAGCCGACCAACCAACCAAGAAAAGCCAAGGAGTACAGCTTTCATGGCAAGCCTTTAACTTGCTGCAGGAGATAGAAGACTCTTTGATTCCTTGACTTACTTTCCGTTCACGATCTTCAAGTTATCCAGATAAGACAGGGGGCATGAATAATATATAAGTGCACTGCGGTAAAAATGCTACGGAATAGCTGGAAGCCGCGAGAATTGGGGACTACAAGCGGTCCGAAAATGTAAGAATCAGAGAAAGGTAGAAAGAAGGATAATGAAGACAATACAGACGCAGAACGAGAGAAAGAGAAATATACGAAAGAGCAGGGGAAAGATGAAGAGAAACACGAAGAACAACAAGACGATAAAGAGCAAGAAACAGGGAAGATAAAGGGAAGGAGAAGGAGGAAGAGGAAGTAGAAAAGACAGAGAAAGATCATAGAGGAAGAGGAAGAGACATGGGAAGATAAGTATATTTATTGATTGTAGACTGGGGCCATCTCTCTCTACCTGATCCATTGGTCCAACCCTTCCCAGCTTCTAATGGATGGTCGTCTCTATCTGGGCACTGAGAGTCAGAATTGCCGTTTCTGCAGGTTTGGTGCCGCCTCGGGAGGAAGCCAGCAGCTTTCCGGCATGGCCCCCAGGTTCCGCTGTGTTTGGGGCCCTTCAATTTGCAACCCTGGCATGACCTGCTTTAGTAGGGAGCCAGCAGGGGTTTCGGAAATGATCCCATGGGAAAGCATGAGACCATGGTTCATAGGGTGATTGCCTCATTCCGGCTCAGAACCAGATTGATGAAGTTCTGCGGTACTTGAAGGATCAAACTCGCCACGCCACGCCATTTAAAAAAGAAAGAGGCCGCATGCAGCCCCCAAAGTACGTCATAAGGGCCACAAACAAAAATCCAAAGGAAGAAGGTCACGCCAAGACTGCGGACAACACCCAAAGAAGAAACAACACACACTCACACCAAGGCTACACACAACAAGATGTCTCCCATACGTAGGAGATTGCATGACTTGGCACATCGAGTGATCGTTCGTTTGTTCGTTCTCCGCACGTTCAGGATGTTTGATTTTCAGGCCAAGCAGATGCCGGAAAAAGATGAAGTTGCCAAATGAAAGCCAAGTTCCAGACCAGCAGCACGTGTGTGAATGTGGGGGCTAGAGGAAAACGATTTGCAGATCCAAAAAGTGCATTTGCGCATCCATTTGAAGACACGCTCCATCACTTCGGAGGAAGACACACCGTCCAAACGCAGAACGGCCCCTATGCACGCTCGACTGGCGTCGGCGGATTGGCAGTGAAGAATTTGATGTATCATTTGCACTTCCAGTTTCACTCGTTTCGAAGGAGGGCCGGTCAGCTTCAGCTTGAGAAAGGATCTTGTTAGTTGCGTGCGGCAACCCGAGGTTTCAGTTGCGGAGCTTCAGCCAGCAGCAACTCAGGGACAGCTTGTCACAGCATCCTGCGGTGGAACGATGTGCAGCTCGGCTGTTCATTGCCGCTCCAACGTCATCTTTTATATTAGTAATTACCACATTTGCGGCCACGTCCACAGCCGCTTCTACGTTCGCTTCCACCAATTTTGCTGCTACCAGTGCGCACTTCTGCCAATCATCGATCAACATGTTCTCCAACCTTCGGAAAACCTTCCTGTTTTTAATGGCAGTACGTGACTCCCGGTATGGACTTCGCAGTTGTCGAAGCTAAGTACTTCGCGGATTCCTTCATTTGTGATTTGTTTGGTTGGCTCCAATATCAGTTGCATGCGTTAGCGCCCCTTTTGTCGATTTCTTGTGTCACAGAATCACTACTGTTTCGAGCCTTGAAATTCTGTGGGCACACCGCCTGACTTGTCCATCATGTTCCTTTAAGAAAGTCACGGGTTGCTGCTTCAGGAGGTGCACCGGCAAGAGAAACCACAACTGTGGCAACCACTGCTGAGCCGCTGAAAGATCAATCTGCAAGGGTTGAGTCTGAGCATTGCTGTTTTCTTTGGCTTCCCTCGTTTCCTTTGATCAAGCAGTGTTTCCTTTGGTCTGCTCAAGGAGGAACACCCTCCTGAGCCGTTCTCTCAGGTCTTCATCGACAACGCGGCGTATGTGGTCAGAAAACAGAAGTCCCCAAAGGCACGGCGGGGAGGCGTTTGAAAAGGGATCCTCAAAACAACCATCCGCTCGCGGGGGCTCTCGAACCGCTGCCGTTGCTTTTTCTGTTTGGGGGCGCAGGCGCTTTGCCGCAAGCCAAGCCATTTGCGCAAAAAGCGCCAAACCACGGTACACGTTGGAACGTGGCAAGGTGTAAGTTTCGATTGAGGCTGTGGCCATCGCACAAAGTGCAGTGTGTGACGGTCAGGGGCAACGGGGAAGGACAGTTCTCACAAGAGCTCGAGCTTAGAATCTTGCGTCCAACCATTGGCCTCTTTATACATTTCCTTCCGCTTGCAGGTGGGCATACTAGACACTGCTGTGGGCGACTGGGAGCTGGAAAAGCACCTTATGCGGAAGGCTGGGTCAATAAGCTGTTGGGGCGTTGCTTCAGTACTCTTGAATTCCCAAGCAAATCTCCAGCCCCTCGCTTGCATACCTCCCCACTGCACAGTGTGGCAGCAACACATGGTAATGCAAGAAGTAGAGTGGTGCTGAAAGTAATGGCACCTGCTAAATTCAGACTTAGCATGGCTTGACTGCACGTTGAACTTGTTGGTCTCTGGTTGGCTTTTCGTTCGCGACGTAAACTGTTTGCAACCACATAGTTGCAGTAAGCGCCTAAGCGTCTAAACTGCTGGGTGCTTTAGCCTCTAAAGGAGACTTAGAGGCTTAGAGTCGTGGAGCCTTGGCGGCTTGGAACTTTAGAGGCTAAAGGCTTGGAAGCGTGGCGGCTCGGAGTTTTAGAGGTGTGGAGGCTTGGACCAGCAGCTCAGGGGCTGAGAACCTTAGAGGCTTAGAGGCTTGCACGCAGCTGGCGCCAAAAGAGGCTCAGAGGATCTCAGAGGCTTGGAGGCGTGTGTCGTATTGCAGACCCCTTTTCCCAATGCACTCAGCCACATCAAGTGCACCAGTTTTCTGAGTCGAGTCTAGCAGGAGGCTTATTTTTCTCAGCCTGGGTCTGAGCATGCAGGCAATGACAGTGTGTTGTGTTAACCGTTTGCTATTGTCGTAGGGCGAGACGCAAGTGCGTGTTCCACAGCTCGGAAAAATGGACTCCCCCCGCAAAAGTTAAAAGCTCCTAGCATGTGCCTGGCGAGTTCAAATATGCCATGTGGCTACATTCAGGCCATTGCGCCCGATTGGGCCTTCCCTGTGTAAGGGTCCACGGTTCTTCCACTGGCAGTCCGCACCCCTGGATATGGAACGGAGGAAGAATGCCCTAACTAACGCGTTCAAGCTGAATTTGATTCCGAGATATTCCGAGTTTCCGCCCCTCTCCTGCTTTTGTCCGTTCTAGTCGAGCACTGATTGCTGGCTTGTGCCGAGACGCCTCACGCATCCCCATCAAAAATCCTTAGATGCAGGCTTTCAACAAACACAGTGTTTACGCTTCGGCCGACTTGACTTAAGGACTTTCCTGCTTGGTCTGTTGGGCAAAGTCTAATTTGGTGCCTGCGCGAGCGTGCAGGCAACCGACTGGAGGCTTCCCCAGGATTTGGTGCCGCAGGTCAGGGTCATAGATCAGCTTCCAGCACCGTTCCTTGGCCAAATGTGGACGGCCGCTGGAAGCCACGTCGACTGGCTGCAATGAACCGAGTCCAAAAAGCATGTCTCCACCAAATAACCCTCTCATTCAGTGTGTGTGTGTGTGTGACCGGCCAAGGGAGAGCTGTTCAGTCCCCTTCTCGCTTTTGCACATGGTGCATGCGCTCTTCCAGGCGTGGTGAATATTGCAGAGACGACACACGTGGGAATGTGGATTGTGGAGCACTCCAACTTTCTCCCTTTGATTTGAGGCAGCATCCACTACCTCTCCTTGTTCTTCGCTGGTTGTACTCGAGTCAGTGGGATCTAGCCCAAAACGGGCGGCGCACATCGGCGAACGTTTGTCCCAGAGAGTGGTAGGCCGTGGACACCAGCCAGAGCAACCACATTTGCCTCTCCGAGTTTGTGGAGTTCTGCAGGCCGCTTCAGCTGTTCAACACAGCGGAGGCGAGCCAGGCCGGATGCTACCTGAGGGCCGCGCGCGACGTTTTTTTTTGATTGTATTTCTTTCTTTCCCGTTTGGTGGAGTTAACCACATTGCTGGTTTGGCCGTGAGTTCCTGGAAGGGGTGATGTTGCAAGGGGAAATGACAGGAAACCGTTTTCAGGCATGACACCCTCACCCTTCCTTCAGCAGCTTGGTGCGGGCGTTCGAAAGAAATCGTTTGCTCTGGCCTTATCCTTCATGTTGCAATGACCTTGCCCCAAGCCAAACGAATTAGCCAGGGGGCTTTGCATTTCATCTTGGGTTGGCCAGCTTACGCGATTGTTCTTGTGCAGGTCTTCTTCAGCAAGCGGTCAGTGCAAACTGCCTCGGAGATCCTGTTCAGCGAGAACGACATTTTTAACTTAAACGAGGCCGACACCAACGTCATGAAGTTTGCCGACTTCCAACAGCTGATCCTAGAGGCTGGCATCGTGGCCCCTCGTCCCATGTATGGTAGCTCTCGGCACGCATTTCTTTCGTTTCGCGGATGAGGTCCCTTGGCATTCACCGAAAAATATATTTTGCAAACCGCTGCCATTGATGAGGGGCAGATGCTGCGCTTCCGCACCTTTCCGATCATAACGTATAGGTATTTGCGTTGGCATCTCGTGCAAGAGGCTCCCCTCCAAAAGAGAAACAAACAGAGTTGTTTTTGGCGCAGTGGTGACAGCAAAAACTTTTTTTTTTCTCACTAGCCCCTGTTCGGGGCTTGGCCCCGGCCAGGGGACTGGTTGGTTGGTTGGTTTGGTTTGGGGTTGGGTTGGGTTGGGTTGGGTGGGTGGGTGGGTTGGTTGGTTGGTTGGTCAGCTGGGCGGCCGCATCCCCAGCATCCCCAGCATCACCGGCCTCGCTCGGACTAGGCCTGCCTATTGGATTTGGTGGCAGTTGCTCCGGGCTGGTTTTGAGCGACTGTTGGGCTTGCTGAGGTCTTGTATAATGAGGGCGGGTCTTGGGTTCGTTTGGGGTTCCTTTAGGCATTGCATTGTAGTTTGTGGGCTTCTTTAGGGATGTGGTTGCGCAAAAAGCCGGCCGCACACCTCGCGCAAATCAGCTCCAAGCCAACCCAAACCGACTCAAAGTCAACCTTAAACCTCCCAACAGCATCCTGGATATCAGCCCTTTACAAAGCCTGAGTGAACCCCAAACAAACCCAAGACCCGCCCTCATTATACAAGACCTTAGCAAGCCCAACACTCGCTCGAAACCAGCCCGGAGCAACTGTCACCAAATCAGAGCCAACAGGCAGCCCTAGTCCCAACCCCCAGCCTGGCCAACTAGGTTCCTGGAGAATACCGCGTGTTGCCCCCTCCCTGACAGCGAAGCAAGGGTTCCTGGCCAACCTCTTCAGAGCCACATGGGGGAGGCCTTGTGCTGAGCCGGGGCTAGCCAAAAGCCGGGGCTAGTTCAAAAAAAAAAAAACACCTCAACCGCGGTGACAGCATTGCCATGAACGCTGAAGGCCAAACTATTTTGTTTTTGGGAAAGAGGGCACAATCGGGCACGGGCGGCACAAGTTGCAAACATTGCAAACATATCCCCTTGACAGTTCCCCTACAAAATGGGTGAGGTTGACCTCCCTATTTTTGTGTTTTGTTTTCCAAAAAAGGAAGCCGATATTGAAAGGTGGGTCTGGTTGGCTCATCCCGTTTTGTAGTAATCCGTTTCTTTTCCACAAAAGGAGTTTGCAAAATGCATGCATTTTGTAGAGGCTACATGTCCCTTGTTTTCTTTGCGGGCCATATTGAGGGATTGTGCTTGGGTATGTTTTTGTAGAAATAAGGTTGGGTAACTTCGGCATTTCGTAGAGCTTGAGCTTGGTCCAAGCTGTTTGGCTCCTGCAAGGCACCACCAAGCAACTTCTTTCGATATGTGGCAAGAGACGAAGAAACCAAGCAGGACCAAGCACCAAGCAACTTCCCTCCAATCCATTTGGAACACTGACTCGCTCGCCACAGACATGGCCAAAATGATATAGATCCCTAGCTTAAGTGACAGCAGTTTGTTATGACCACTTGGCAGTTATGGTTATGACATCCAAACGTTTGTTATGTTGCTGAATGGCTGTTCCAACCCCACCCCCCCACCCAAATTAACAGGGGGGTGTAAAATTGACTAAGCATTCATCGGGGTTGGCAGTATTCGAACCGACACTGGCCACGCACAAGCATCAGTGCCAGGAATTATCATCCTTTCGACAGGCAGACGGGCAAACAATTGGACCCCGACAGCAAAAGGCTGCCAGTTGCTGCCATGAAGCGAAGTAGCTCGACCAGAATCGACCAAAGTGAAGTAGCTTTGTCAGGCTGCCCAGGAACATGAGTATGCATCCCCGGCATGTCAAGATCCCATTAAGGGGGGTCTGTTTGGGCATACTTTAGGGGTGTGCAGTTCAGGGATGCCGAGTTTAGCGGAGCCATAGCCATGTCTGGTGGCTCAGGACATGACCTCCTTCCGCGCAGTTGGTGAGTCGTTGAAGGCTCCACTGGTGTCCTTCTTTGTCGACGAGCGGGCCATGCTCTTAGTCCTTGCAGGAGAGCAAGCTGATAGTGAGATAGCAGAACTTATTCCATTGGATGCTCCGACTGTTTCCTGCACGGCATCAAGAGATTTGGCTTTCTAAGATGTAGCAGGCGAGCAGGCCATTCTTAAAGAGGTTCCAAGCCTGAAGCTGGAGCCGCAATGTGAGGGAATCCACGGGCTCAGTCAGAAAAGCACAGAACTGGGCAGTTCTTTTGTACTTGATCTCAAGGGCAGCTTTCACGGCAATGCCCAGGTTGCCTCTACCTTGATGACCCCCTGGTTCGCAATGTACGACGACGATGGGGATGGGATACTCCAACTTGAGGCGCGACTGGGATCAGTTGGTGCTGGGGGCCATCAGAGAACCTTCTTCAACGCGGCGCGTGACGCCTTCATTGCCTAAGTCACTCTGGGCAACCGCTTTGCTGAAGATTGCTTGGCTCTGGCTTTTCCTGCCCTTTCGGGGAACAAGTGGAGAGAGGTGGAACTGCCACTAGGCCACTGCTGCCGGCTTCATGGCCGTTTTGTTGAAACGAATTTGTTCATAGGGCTGGTTCAGGTTGAGTGTTCCGTGGTAACGTGCTGGGCAGTGTCCTAAGTTGTTGGCAGTGTCCTAAGTTGTTCCACAGGTCTTCCCTTTGCATCATGGTGTTTCCGCTGGTCAGCCTTCCAAATTTTAATTCAAGCGGGAGCTTTCCCAAACTGCCTCCCCGAGCCAGGAGTATGCACGGCTGGTGGCAGATTACCAGCTGCCCCTCATGCTGGCAGACGAAGTCTACACGCGGGCGCAGCAAGACAAGCACGGCCTCGAGTCTCAGTTCGAAAGGCCAACAAGTAGTCGACGCGAACATGGTAGCTGCAAACTCTTTTCAGAAATTATGGGGAGCCCACTCTAGAGAGGCGGCCACGAGGAGAGACGATGTTGGAAGCATATTCAGATACAGGAATTTGTCATGTTTGGTTTGTCAGGATATGTTTTCTTGTTTGCTTTTGACTGACGCGTCTTGTGGGAGTGTTTTATTCAGTCGGAATTCGCTTGCGTTTGTCCAAGGATATCTTTAGCCCTTGGATATGACAGCTTGACGGACAGAGGCTGAGCATGATGCTGTGCTCATCCTGCTGCCCAGGACATCCTCGATTTCGAGTCTGTGCTCAAAGTATCGGGTGTGCTTGTCACAGGCTCGCCTTTACGCAACTGTTCATGCGTGAAACAAATGGTGGGGACATGTCCTGCTTGGACAGGCACCTCCATCGAAAAAGACGACGAGATGGGCAAGTTGTGGCGGGAGATTGAGCCCTCCCAGAAGTTGCTTGGCTGGATCGAGCGGGGAACAAATCATCACGCCATCGTTTTGCATTCAGGTTCCTTGCCCCTCATCGTGTTTTCATTGCTGATGGCCCGCTCCTTACCGTTCCCCTCTGGTGCTGCAAGATAACTGGCATCACATCCACGCAGGGTTTGCTTGGCTTCGCTGTGGGTTGAGAGGAAGCAAGCGTTTGCAACTGCAGGCCGCTCTGGCACGTCAATGCCGCAGCAGCCTGGACATTTGCGTTTCGTGTGCCTCTCAGACACTCATGGCCAACATCGTGAACTCTCTTCCAGGCACCTGGCAAAAGCTCAGGCTTCATTGCCGGATTTGACAATGTGCAACCAGCAAACTTGTTGTCACATCCGCATTTCGCCGATTGATGCTTTGTGCCTTGCGCTTGGCAATGCACGGTTTTGGGCTTCAGGGCGACATGAGCTTGATTCAGTGTCAGATCCTGCAGGCTGCCTCCGGGAGATGTGCTCCTCCACGGAGGCGAGATGAGCATGCAAGGGAAGCAGGGTAGCATGGGAATGTGTCATTGCTGCAAGTTCGATAGGGTCAGATGCCTGCACAGATTCCATGGATGTTGGTTTAGCATTGCAAGTTTTTGCTCAAGTGGTTTTACTTCCAAGATAACTGTCCTGTTCCATTACCGTAGTGCAAAGCTCCTTTCAACGTGAATCTTGCAAATGCGCAGGTACATTCCTGGAAGTTGGTTATTTGCCTGTGCAACATGTTGCGAAGGGCGACATGGTTCTTGGGGTGCTTGAGCACGTGCCCCCAAGGGTTCGCACGATTCATGGAGTCAAAGCACCTGGCATCGCTCCCTTGGTTTTGCGTTGGTCGCAGGTGACTTTTCCACTGATGGCAGTCTGGAAGAGGCCGGGATTTCCGCAACCATCCGGGTCGTCATCAGTTGCTTGTATCATGCAGTGATGAAGGAATCCTATTGTCCAAGCATCTTGATCGTTTCATAGCTGTTTGGTTCTGTGCCGGGATTATACGCAAGTAGCGCCAACGAACAAAGTAACGCAGCTCGAAACTCACACTGTTGTGCATCTGCAAAAACAAGCATGCAAATGATGTCCACCAGAGGGTCCTGAGCGAGAGAGAGAGAGAGAGAGAGAGAGAGGGTTCCTGAGCAAATGGCACCCCCAGGTTGCGATCTCGTGGGAACGTCGCAATTTTTGCCCAGGTCTTGGATTTCTCTGCCTGGTTGCGATCACTGCCGTATCAGCACAAAGTTTTGACGCCCGTTGCAAAAGCGAGGTTCTATGATGTTCTATGTATGCGTGGATCGGTCGGGGGATTTGTATGAATTTGTCCTGGTTCCTGACTAACATTGCCACTACGCTTTGAGCACGCTGGTTGCATGTGTTTCGGGTCAAGGAGCGGTTTGGCGGGCTGAGTTCACGGCGAAATCAAAATGGCAAGGCGGACAATTGTTTGTTTGGAGCGCCTAGTATGTGATTAACTCACTCAGGATACATTGCAGATGCAAATCTTGTTGAGTGGCAAGTCCTAGTGTACAGACATGCACTCATGAGGTCGGCTGATTGAACATATCAGGTACACACACAAACAGTTTTCCATGCTGCCTCACAGGGGCCACAGAAACGGAGCCGAGTCGTCATATTCCAAGGATTGCTGGCAATCACGAGCTGACCTTCGACCAGAGCTACACTGGAGGCAGAGCAACCTGATCGCAATGGAACATTCACAAGGTGCTGGGCTGACAAACCGGTATTGTAGCACATGTGGGTGGTTGACATTGATGCAACAACGGCGACATCCCGCATTGCCAACCATGAGCCTACGATCGGAACATACACCTTGCAAGCCTTGAGGTTCGCAACAGGGTTCTTCTGACTGGAAAAGAGCTGTGGCGACTAAGGTAAAGTCCAAGGAGACGGACGTGCGTTCGACATTCCTGGCATCGTTCACAGAGAGTGATTCTTGCAATGCGCTGAGTCCCTTTCGGGCTTACCGAGCAGATTGTACAGTGTGCGTGTGATGTTTAGGACCTTGAGGGACAAATGACGTAAATCAGTTCCAGCTTTGCGTCGCAAGTTGGCATGTTTTTGTTCCACGGTTTGTGCCTGGGCCAACTCACAGCCAGTCACCTATGCCAAAGATATTTGTTTGCTATCATCATGTGGTCCTTCATCTGAGGATGGTGTCACCTACCTCGAGCATGAGGAGACTGTCATTCGCTTCTTGGCTACAGACTGAAGAAGTGCTCCGATCTGTGATTGCTCCATGTTGACGTGGGAAGTGTCGGCCGAGATCTCGCCATCCAACTCAGAGGGCCCGCATCAGTGCTAGCGGGTTACAGAAACCAGGACAATGTGGGCATCCAAAAAGGAACCCAACAAATTTCATGTTGTTAGAACTCATTTCACAGGTCACCAGGTCACCCAACAAATTGTTTCGCCCAGCCTTTTGTGGCCTGCTTCATGGGCCCAGGTGGGGTCCGCATCTTCGGCAGCCCCTGGCAGCCAGAGTTCCTGGACTGGGCCTTCAACGCCCCGCGCCATGCTATGGCGGAGAAGTGGCAGGCCATGTTTGACATGTTCTCTGCGTATCTTGTTTTCATATATACTAATACTTTTTATTCCCCAGATAGCTGAAAGCTATGGGGGTTCTAACTTCTAATAAGGAGGGAAAGTGATTTGCGAGATTGAGGGCCGGGTGCTAGGGGGCATGCAGTTTGGGGTGCTGGCGGAGGTGCAGTTTTGCGAGATTGAGGGCCGGGTGCTAGGGGGCATGCAGTTTGGGGTGTTGGTGGAGGTGCTGTTTTGCAAGCTTGACGGGGTGCAAGAGGGCATGCAGTTTGGAGTGCTGGTGGAGGTGCTGTTTTGCGAGCTTGACGGCCGGGTGCTAGGGGGCATGCAGTTTGGGGTGTTGGTGGAGGTGCGGTTTTGCGAGCTTGACGGCCGGGTGCTAGGGGGCATGCAGTTTGGGGTGTTGGTGGAGGTGCTGTTTTGCGAGCTTGACGGCCGGGTGCTAGGGGGCATGCAGTTTGGGGTGTTGGTGGAGGTGCTGTTTTGCGAGCTTGACGGCCGGGTGCTAGGGGGCATGCAGTTAGGGGTTTTGGCGGAGGTGCGAGATTGACGGCCAGTGCATGTAGTTTGGCGAGTGCTAGGGGGGGATGTAGTTCGGGGTGCTTGGAGGTGCTGTTTGCAAGATTGACGACCGGGTGCGGTGGAGGTGACGGCCGGGTGGTAGGGGGCATGCAGTTTGCGACGCTGGCGGAGGACTCTCAGCGTTAGGGGGCATTTAGTTTGTGGTGCTGGTGCAGGTGCTGCTCTGGGGTGCTGTTTGATTAAGGTGCTGCTGATGGTGCAGTCGCATTTTGTGGTACTGTTTGGGGTGTTGTATGCCGCGCTGGTGACGTTGTGGGCGCAATTTTCCGAGATTGGCGGCGGGTGCTAGGGGGCATGCAGCTTGGGGGTGGTGGTGCAAGTGCTGTTTTGAGTTGCTTTTTGAGGTGCTGCTGACCGCGCGGGCGATTATTTTCCCAGATGGCGGAAAGCCATAGGGGTTCTAACTTCTAATCAAAAAGGGTAATTGTTTTGCTGGGAGCTAGGGGGCATGCGGCGTGCGCTTTGGGGTACTGGGTGCGGTTTTGGGGGGTGCTGTGCGGGCTGGTGACCGTACGTGACGGCAGGGTGCTCGGGGACGTGTCCGGTGGTGGCGCGGGTGCTGGGTTGGGGCTGCTGTTTTTAGGTGTTGGTGATGGTGCGGGCGCATATGGACAGCAGGGTGCTAGGGCGGGTGCTGTTTGGGGTATCGTGGTTATGATGCTGTCCGCAGCATCATGATGCTGTTGAAACGATTCGGTGCTTGTGTTTCATCAGGATGTTGTCAACCACGTCATGATGCTGCTGTCACTGCGATGCTGCGTTATGGTTCGTGGGTGTGGTGGCGCCATGATGCTGTCAACATCAGGATGATGCTGATTTTCATTACGCTGGCCCAAGATGATTTGCGGCTGTGGTATCATCATGAATCATGATGCTGCCTTTACCATCACCATGATGCTGTCCGCATCATGGTGGTGCTGTCCGCGTCACAATGATGCTGTTTGCACCATCATGATGCTGTCGAACTCATCGTTCTGCCTTTTTCTTCTGCTAGATATGTAGCGCGGAATCGTTCGTGACTGGTGCATCAGCATATTGCTGTCAACATCATCATGATAGTGTCAACATCATCATGATTATGATGCTGCGTCATGGTTCGTAGCTGTGGTGTGCTATCTGGGGTCTATGCGGGTGACTTTTTTTTATTTTTTCGGGATTGATTGTTTCTCAATCATGTTTTTCCTCACATCCCGCCTTTCAAAAAATGGAACTTGGAGGGGAACTGGCCTTCACTATCTTGAATCCAAGCGAGCCTTTCAAATACAGACAGATCAGATGCAAACCAAGCATCTGCAGGGATCCCCGACAAACTTCGGTGGCATATCTCAGGAACCATTTGTTCAAGAGTTGATTCCCTGGTTCAAGAGTAGACATAAATCAAGAGTTTGTTTGGTCCATGGGTTTTAAACGGGGAAAGCAGGCCCAAGAATGCTCATGAATCCTCCCGGTAAAGGGCCAGATTTTGTTTTGGAGCCTCCTAGCAGTTTTAGTTGGGAATAGTTGTGTTTGTGCCTTTGATGGTTATTGAAGTTTGTTCAAAAAGCTCTGCCGAAGGGCATGAACAAAAGAAGGGGCCTAAAGCGTGAAGAGCATGTTTTCCCATTTCCCAGGCCATCCCTGCGGGTGTCCACGTGCTGCTGGTTCACGGGCCTCCCTTGGGCCGTGGTGACGCGCTGCTGCCCTCGCTGCAGCGCGGGGGATGCGCCGCACCGCGGCTTAGTTTTTTCACGTCGAGTCGCACCCATTAATTATCCGACCTTCGCTTTGTGGCTTGGCTTACGGCCCCACAAAGGCGGGTTGGGGGTTGAAAACGTTGTCAACATAATATATAGTCTTCCAAACTCATCCTGTCCACGTCCAGGACTGGTAAGACGACCGCCGACGCACGCCCGCCCCCCGCGCACCCCAGCGCGCAAGCGACACGCCCGCCCCCACTCCCACGAGCGCCTTGTCTGCTTGTTTGTTTCCGTGTTTCTTTGTTTGTTTTGTTTGTTTGTGTTCATGTGTGTAGACTGCGGACTGTGCGTGCGTGCGTGCGTGGGTGGGTGGGTGGGTGCATGGGAGGGTCCGTGTGTGTGTGTGTGCATTTGTGTTTGTGCATGTGTGTGTGTGCATCTGTGTGTGCATTTGTGTGTGTGTGTTGTGTGCCTGTGTGTGTGTGTGCGCGTGCGTGTGTGGGTGTGGGTGTGTGTGGGTGCGTGCGTGCATGCATGGGTGTGTGTGGGTGGGTGTGTGTTTGCGTGTGTGTGTGTGTGTGGGTGCGTGCGTGCGTGCGTGCGTGCGTGCGTGCGTGTGTGTGTGTGTGTGGGTGTGCGTGTGCGTGTGCGTGTGCGTGTGCGTATACGCGCGTGTACGTGCGTATACGTGCGTGTGTGTGTGTGTGTGTGTGTGTGTGTGTGTTTGTTTGTGTGTTTGTATGTGTGTCTGTGTGTCTGTGTGTCTGTGTGTGTGTGTGTCTGAATGTGCGTGTGCGTGCGCGTGCGTGCGTGCGTGCGTGCGTGCGTGGGTCTGTGTGTGTGTGTGTGTGTGCGTGCGTGTGTGTGTGTGTGTCTGTGTGTCTGTGTGTCTGTGTGTCTGTGTGTCTGTGTGTCTGTGTGTCTGTGTGTGTGTCTGTGTGTGTCTGTGTGTTTGTGTGCGTGTGCGTGTGCGTGTGCGTGCGTGCGTGCGTGTGTGTGTGTGTGTGCGTGTGCGCGTGATTGCGTGTGTGCGTGTGTGTGTGTGTGTGTGTGCGCGTGTGTGCGTGTGTGCGTGTGTGCATGTGCGCGTGTGTGTGTGTGTGTGCGTGTGTGTGTCTGTGTGGGTGCGTGCGTGCGTGCGTGCGTGCGTGCGTGCGTGCGTGTGTGTGTGTGGGTGCGTGCGTGCGTGCGTGCGTGCGTGCGTGCGAGTGTGTGTGTGTGTGTGTGTGGGTGGGTGCGTGCGCGCGCGTGCGCGTGTGTGTGTGTGTGTGTGGGTGCGTGGGTGTGTGCGTGTGCGTGTGCGTGTGCGTGTGCGTGTGCGTGTGCGTGTGCGTGTGCGTGTGCGTGTGCGTGTGCGTGTGCGTGTCCGTGTCCGTGTCCGTGTCCGTGTCCGTGTCCGTGTCCGTGTCCGTGTCCGTGTCCGTGTCCGTGTCCGTGTCCGTGTCCGTGTCCGTGTCCGTGTCCGTGTCCGTGTCCGTGCGTGCGTGCGTGCGTGCGTGCGTGGGTGTGTGTGTGTGTGTGTGTGTGTGTGTGTGTTTGTTTGTTTGTGTGTGTGTGTCTGTGTGTCTGTGTGTCTGTGTGTGTGTGTGTCTGTGTGTCTGTGTGTCTGTGTGTCTGTGTGTGTGTGTCTGAATGTGCGTGTGCGTGCGTGTGCGTGCTTGCGAGCGTGCGTTCGCTCGGGTGCGTGCGTGCGTGCGTGCATGCGTGCATGCGCGGGTGGGCGGGTGGGTGGGTGTGCTTGTGGGGTTGTGCGCGCTTTTTGCTGAATCTTGCGAACAATGCCCAGAACAGATGAACAGCCTTCGCTACAGGGAGACACGAGCATTGTTTGCCCGCTAGCAGCCATCCTGCCCTCGTCACCGGGCCAGGACCCTCCCCAAAGCTTCGATTTGGATTGATGCAAACCACGTTGTGAACATCCACCTGCCACAGGGACAGCCTGTTACTTGAAGCATAGGCCAAGCTACAGCCGTGGTGTCGGACGGTGTTCCAGGAGGGAAGGCTGTTTTTACAGAACGAAGATGCACATCGACAGTATCAACAGAACTAGTGGCTAACTAGTGCCAAAGCTTAAACTTGTGCTTGCGCGAGTCTGCTTTCATCGCGGTTACTCAAGAGCGCTTTTTGCGTGTAAGGACCTGCTGGTGGAGGTGCAAAATCGTATTCATCCGCAGTTCTGCGTCTTCGGACACATTCATGAGGGTGCTGGCATCTCATTCGATGGAACGACGCATTTTATAAATGCATCGTCCCTGAATGAGCACTACCAGTGCATTCATGCTCCGCTGGTTTTTGAATCTTGGCCAAGTTTAGGCTTGCAATGTTGCTTGTTGACATTCACGTGGCGTCGTAAGACATCGCAAGCTCCTTGTGTGATATGTTTCTGTTAGTTGGCATCGACGAGATGTAGATGGCTGAACCTGCAGACATAGAATATAATATGCTGCTTGCCGTGACAAGCCGAAAGATATCTTCAACACGCATGCTTGGACATGTTTTCGATAACCCGCAGGACTTGAGCACTTGAGGGATGGCATGTCTTAAGGACGTCCCCATCGAGGAGTGAGTGTGCCAAGGGTAGCATGTTGCATGCCGCGCCTTTGGTTGATCTTCGCCGGCTGCAACAAAGGCATGTCAGTGCCTGTCAATAGCCGGACGTGTGTTGTCAATCCGGTGCCTTCCACATGCAATTCACATGCAGGTAGTTGCTCTACACATGAAATTGGATTGATTTACTTAGTTTAGTGTGATTAGCCATGGTTCATATCATCATCAGGGACGTCGCGTTAGTGACCGACCTGTGGTGTTTTGGCTCAAGTTTTGGATCCGGCGCGCCTCGGATGAGCGTCGCCGGGCCCTCACGTCGACCGCCTTCGTGTCGGAGGAGAAAGAGACTTCGGCCCGGGGTAGGTTGGTGGGGATCGCCCGTGCGGTTCATCGTCGATCTAGGTTGCGGGTATCCTTTTCTGGTTTGGTTTGTTTTCCCTTTTGGTTGTTGTTCTCTGGTGTGTGGGAAACCCTGATCTTTGGGACCGGGGATTGGTTTGCTTTTGGGGAACCTTTCTTTTGTGGCTTGTTTACCCCAACTTACCCATTGCCTGGGCACAGGCTCGTGCCCGAATCACAGGTTATCAGCCGTAGGACTTTCCTACGCGCTTGAGACCATCAACTACAAGCTCTATGTCGACCCCACGATCTCGAAGGAGCGTCGTGGATGAGGAGGCCATCCTAGGTGGCCTCCGCTCAGGTGAGGACCTACCGGACTATGACTACGAGGATTTCGAAGCAGGTTCGACAGGTCAGGACCGCAGGGGTGAAGATCCCGGTAGGGATACACCCAGGGGCCGTGGCAGGTACGCCGACGATGGAGACGATCGTATTTTCCGCCAGGCCACTGATGACGAGCAGACACGAAGGGTTTACTCCGGTAGGAGTGGCTCTGAATCAGGTCACAGGCGTGGACATTTTGACTTCACCAGCATGGCGATGGACATGGCCCGCCCTCATTCGGATGACCCGGAGGCCATGCCGATTCGACCTCCGAGATCTCTTGTTCCAGGTGAGTCGCAGGTCTCGGATGAGTTTGAGAGTAGGCCGCAGGGACCAGGGACTATGGTTCTGGTTCCGGGAGGTATCCCGGGCCGATCCACTGGTTCTCAGAATCCAGGTCAGTTTGATGAGCACGAGGAGCGGAAGTTCTCAGACTTCGGATACGATGATCTGTTGAAATCAACCGCAGGTTGGGGCAGTAGCTCAAAGCAGGGATCTGATGCCGGTAGGCCCAACCCTAATACTGCCAAATCTGAGTCTTATGATGGCGAAGGTTACAATTTTGCGGATGAGGAGGAGAGCCATTCGCGCCGAGATGCAGGCAGCCGTGCGACTGCAAGGACTAGTCCCGCCGCTGCCAAGTTTGAGGTCGATGATGATGACGAGTATGCCGCGTTTGCGGATCGCCGTGATGAGGAGGAGGACCAACCACGACGAAATGCTAGGATCCGTGATGCTGCGAGGCCCAGGAGCCTCTCTCGTGGAGCCGCCAGGGACCTTCGCGTTGACAGGGATGCCCGAAGCGAGAGAGAGAGAGCCAGGGACAGTCGGGAAGTTCTTCGGGGATTGGAGGCCATCCATGACCGTGAGGGACCGGTAGGTCCCCCGGCGATTGGTGATACCCCGAATGTTCCCCCTTTTCCCAACATTACGTTTGGAGGTCCGTTAAATCAGAGAGACGTGAACTCGAACCGGGTTACTGGTTCGCCGAGAGTCACTGAGCGGGTTGCCGATGTCGTTGGGAGAGGTGCAAGAGATGGCCGGCTTGCCGATGCACTCGGAATCGAGGATCGTCCGTCGATCGCTAGCCCGTTAGGGCGAGATACCAGTGACCTTGAAACGCTAAGGTCCAGCAACGAGTTCACACCTCAATGGGGCTCGACCGCCAGGGAACGTAGTGCTTCTGCGAAGAGACCGTCACCCCTGGCCATTGAGACCGATAGGTCGAAGGCGAGGAGGGCTAGCCCCTCACCAATGGCCTCAACTCCGCAGGATGAGGAGATGCCTGATCCTGCTGATGTTCACATTCACTCTACTCCCGAGTCTCGTGCGTCCCATGTTGATCCCCGTTCCGGCGATAGCCGTAGAAGGGGTTCTACCCCTAGCAGGCCATCTGGGGTTGGTGATAGTCCTGTGGATGACCCCAGAAGATATGCTAGAGCTAGTGGGGCTCCTGAGAGGATCGAGATATCGACTCCTCCAGCACTCAGGTCTCATTCTTCCGGTGAATCAGGTGACGCTAGGGCAAAGGAGGTGTTCGATTTGCACATCCAGGAGATGCTCGAGAGAGGTGAGGTTTCTGGCTCAGTCGCGAAAGCTTTCCATATTTTTGCTGACCAGATCAGGTTACTGAACGGTCAAGTGAGTTCCATGCGAAGGGAATGGAGCGACGAGAATCAACAGACGAAGGACAAGGTCGATCGACTGGCAGCTGAGGTTGCGACTCAATCTGATGCCGGGAGGATGCGAATGATAGTTCAACGGTTCGCAAGGGAAGTTATTCCCGATAGCAAGGCCATTGTGAGGCAAGCCATCGATGAGCAAGCCGAGGTCGTGGAGCAGAGGATTAACCTACTGTCCCACGAGGTCCATGAATCTGTCAGGGACAATGAGGCATCGACTGATCGGCTTCGCCTGATGATTCAGGAGAATAATGAGGCTGCCCGCAGAAGCCATGCTGCTTCTGAGGACGAGATCCTTAAGGATTTGGACAAGCTTGAGAAACGGATGTTCTCGGTAGAGAAAACCGTTGGGATGCGGACACCGGCAGGTGTATGGAACCCGAATCCTGTCGCGCATCCGTCCGATAGGGCCAGCGGCAGTGTAGTCGATGCAAATTTCAGGGAGTTAAACCTGAAGATCGAGAAAGCTCTCCTTGATCACGAGACATTTGCCAAGTGGGCCTCTGAATCTATTGAAGGGATCAAAGAAGAGCACACTCGTCTTGTTAATCGAGTGTCGAGACTGCAGAGTGGAAGGGGTTCTCAGGAGGTCGATAGACCATCAGAACATGATTCCCCGCAGGACTGGCATGAGGCTATTGACGAGATCAATCGGAAGATGCAGGATCTGGCTCGAGGAATTCAACGTCAACGTCGGGATCATGACGACATCATTTCTAGGTTTGAAACCGTGAAGTCACATGTTGAACAGTATGAAGCGAGATCGGCAGTTGTGAATCGGGTCGTTGATGGCATCCAAGGACAGATCCGTAATCTTCCTGCCAGCAGTGACCAAGTGCAGCCTGCCGTTAGGCGAGAGCTCGGCACATTCCGGAGTACACTTGAAGGTGTTATGCGGAGAGTCAGCGCTATCGATGGTAACGTGCGTAACCTTAGCGCCGCGAACAACAGAATCATGTCCCAGCTCTTTGAGATGGAGGGTCAATTTGACGAGGCTGCTGGCATTATTCAGGGTGTCCAGCAGATTAATGAAGCTCCTCCACAACCCAGAGAAAGACGGAATGTTGGTTACCATGCATTTGCGGGGCAAGGACATAGGATCAGGTCACCGACGCCTACACCAGGGGAAGGTGACGGCCGGGGTACTGGCCTGCCGGTGAGACCAGGCGGAGGCGTTGTTTTGCCTGATCATGTTTTGCCGAATGTGCCCGATAGGGTCGATCCTTCTCGCGCAGACAGGCATCCCATCTATCCCGTTAGGGAGAGGTCCGACAGCAGGAGCAGGAGGGTTCGGGGGTTGCCTGACAGGTCGCATTCGCCACCGGAGCGTGCAAGGGGTGGTCCCCGCGCGCGCGCAAGGGGGGACGTTTCTATTTCCCCCAATAGGGATGCGGGTAGGAATAGGAGCCCGAGGCCTGCTGCCGTCCCCGATAGGGGATCTGAGGTCCGGAGTCGACAATCGAGGGGGGAGAGGCCGATCCGCGATAGCGGGAGCGTCTCTCCGAGTTTTGATAGGCCAATCCGCGATAGCGGGAACGTCTCTCCGAACCCAGGTCGTCATTCAGGAGGTGGTGGGGGTAATAGGGTTCATGCCGACATCCAGAGTCCTGGTGATGAGTGGAGGACTCCTGGGAGTAGAGCCAGCGCCGACACCCAGAGTCCCGGCGAGGCGAGGGACCGCTGGAGCTCCGTTGGATCGTGGACAGGCCTCAGCGCCGGCTGCAAGAGGGGCTCCCGGCGGCGATGGCCCAGACGCGCCAAAGATTTGTGCCCTCGATCATCCCAACGACCGTAGGCACCCAAACGCTGAATTCTCGTGTGTTACGTGCAATCGTGAGTTCTGCGGGCTTTGCCGGGGTGACGACGGGGACTGTTACAATTGTCAGTTCTTGAAGATGAAATGCTGGGCATGTCGCAAGAATGCTCAGGAGGTCTCCATGTATCTCTGTACGGATTGTGGGACTCACGTCTGTGAGAATCACAGTTACTTCGGAAATGACGGCCTTGAGCGATGTGCACGCTGCAATATTCGGCATGAACGCGCTTAAGCTGGACCGCCCCCTCCTCCTCCTCCCGGGGGAGGTGGTGGGCAAGGCGGACCACCTGGTCAAGGTGGGAGCGGAAGTGGTGGTCATGGACATGCCCCAGCTCCACCGCCAGGTCCTGGGACATTATGGTGGAGGCCAAGATCCCGCTGGGCCTTCTGGAGGCCCGAGTGGAGGGGCTCCTACCGGGGGTTACCCTGGTGGAGCGCCCGGGTTCCACGGTAGTGCTGCGGATACTCATGGAATTGGGAACAATCAGTGTGGTTCCAGTTTCTATGGTCCTGCCTACGGAGGTGGCGTTAGTCACCAAGGGGTTGGCGCTGGCGTTAGTCAGTCTAGCAATGCCACGGGTTACCCCTCAAGTGTTGCGAGCGGTGGTAACCTTGGGCCGGGTCTTAGCCTCGGCTATAGTGTGAATGGTGCCGGTAGGCAGGGAGATGGTGGTCTTCTCCCTGAAGCCTTGAGGGGAGATGATGGACGGGACAGGTGCACTAAGTGTAACAGGATCCCTGAGCCTGGTTTCCCTCTTGTTCCTTGCGTTGGTTGTGGAATGAGGGCGTGTGAAGTTTGCTGCCCTATGCCTGCTAGACTGTGTGAAAGTTGCAGGATTACCTCGTGTACCCCG